TTGTTCTAGGCTCCATTTTGCCAGGCGCAAAGAAAACAACAGGCATGTGTTCTTATACAATGCCAATCAGAGTATTAATGAGACAAGAACTATTGGGGGAAAGGCCAGAACGTAACTCTCTTTGTATCAGTGCAGTGTTACAACAACAAGAACAACAACTTGCATTTATATAGCACTCTTCACGCCAGAAGGCGTCTCGGTGTGCTCAGTGTTATCTCATGTTATATCTCTGACTTTGTCGGGACGGGAGGCAAGTTGGACATTAGCACGATCTACACAACCCCAACCCCAACTTAGAGCCACCCTACACCAAGCCAACTGGCCATTCCCCTACAAGCAAGATCACTCCAAAGTCTGCCAAGCGAGGAAAAGACGCAAGGCTGATCACTGCCTGTCAGTGCACCATTTTCCTTTCACTCTCATCATGTTCCCCTGTCTGACCTGGGTAATCCTGGATTAGATTACTAACCCACAATCTCTTTCCCACACAGGGCAGTAGTTCACTCCCTCATGTTTACCTTGGGGAAATACTGTAAATAAATTATAATGTGATTATCATTTTATTGAGAACAAGGGACAGAATTCCTTATGAAAATAATATATTAAAAAAAGCCTGCCATCAGCTTGGGACTCTGTCCTGCTCTGCTTCGCTGCTAACTCGTGTTCCTCCTCGAGAACATACAGTGAATGTGACGAGAGCAGTCACCCTGCTCTCAAATCAGGAGGCAAGACGACTTTTTAACGCACTTTTGCTTCCTCTCAACTAAAACCAATTTGTGTTGTTAGACAATAAAGGTCCCAGTTACTACTCCACGGCAATGCCCAGCTGCCATCCAGACCGTGACAAGGTTTGGAACTTGGATATTTCAGGAGTGTAAAGCGATATGGTTGGAGGTGTAACAGGGAGAGAGGGAGCCCTGATTTGGGTTGGTCTCATTGGCCAACAGCTTTTTCCCAATCTTATCCCATCATCGCTCCTTCTTCAGATCACAAGATGCATCATCACCATTTATATCACATAATTCAATTACAGACACCTCCCATCTGTCATTCTGCCATCACCCCCTCTCCAGAAACCCTCTCCTGACAGGAAGCTTTCAGTGATCAGATAACTGCAAGAAAAATCACTAACTCTCTGTATCTTTTCCACTCTGGACCATGTTTCAAACCAGGAACACATCTTGCGGTTGAAAGACGTTAATAAAACGCCAAGGGTTTTCTTTCTTTTTTGGGGTGGTGGGAAGTAATCTGAAGGATAGTAGCTACAACCATGCAGTGCTGGGGGGTGAGGGTGGAGTGCCCTGCATTGTTGGCTCTACTGTCCTTCAGATGAAATGCTAAACCGAGCTCATGTCTGTGTCTGTTCAGGTGGATGTTACAGATCCCGCTGCGCTGTTTGAAAAGAGAAGGGAGTGTCTCTCTCCTGACGTCCCAGCCGACAATCCCCCCAAATAAAGTCAGTCATTTCACAGCTGGTTTCTGGGCCCTCGCTGAGCGCAAATTGACTGTCGTCTTTGCCTAGAAACACACGGTCACTACATTTCACAGTAAATCCGGTGTAGTGCTTCGAGACGTCCTGCTGATGTGAAAGGCGCCATATCAAATGCGAGGATTGTTAAAAACAAGTCGAAATGTCATGAAACAGTAAGTGTTCCTTCCAACGGCCTCGTTTCATTACTACTCTAAATGGCATTTCCACAATTAACAGTTGACAGAAGCATTGTTGCTAACCTGGCAAAGTGTACAATGCAGCGCTTTAAAAATCTAAAACCGTGGTGGGGGGGGAGGGGACAAGTGACCGTAATAGAAGAAAACAAACTGTCAACAAGCAGGAACCTCTCTCTCTCCCAGCAGCTCTGAATGCCATAAAAAATGAATGAAGGAAAACTGAGCACAACCTTGCTTTCACGAGATTAGCTCTGAGGTAAGCAGCGCGCACACAACAGTTTTCAACACGCACGGTGTCATAATCCACGCGGCATAGAATTTTAATCAAAACAGCTCCACGGGGACATTAAGCTAAATTTAGACTCAATGTTAAGTTTCCATTTTCTCCGCTGGCCGCGACAGGTCACATCTGCGCTGATTTATGAATGAACGAAGCCAATCGCAAAACACATGAGGAAAAGGGGGGGGAAGAAACAAAACAATGTCAGGAAGGAAGAAATGGATTTGGGATATTAATATAACAATTTTTGGTGAATCTAGGGCAACATCATATATATATATATATAAAAAGAGAGGGACGGAAATTGGTTTCGGCAACGCAGTCAGTTGCAGAAAAACCGTAGCTGATATAGGGAGAGAGAATGTAACAGGGTGGTGTTGAACCAGCTGTGCTTACAGCACGCAATTCACCGCAAAATGCGGTGGTACAACATATTCCAACACCGTTTATAATACACAATCCTGTTAGTAATTCTCGCTGCCCCACATCACGGCACGTTAAAAAAATGAATGTTTTTATACGCAAAAAAGTTAGTTTTAAAATCTTAAGATTGCCGTGACTGTGAAATGTTGTGTGAGTGGTTTTTAATTCACGCGCTCTGCAGATTGAGTGACCCCCCTGGACTAAGACCAACCACACGTAGGATTCGGTGCTGTTTATGGGTCAGCAGATTCCTCATCCCAATCACAGGATTTTCCAGGGATGCGAAGCCATCTGGGTAAGCATCCCGGGACAGGGGCGCAGGCGGGCGGGCGGGCAGGTGGGTGGGTGGGGGGGGGTGGGTGGGGACCTGAGTGGCCCCCTCAAACTCACTCAATTACAATGGAAGAAATCAAGTAATAGTAATAATTATTAGTAATAATTATAACGCTTAATGCAGCGCCTCAAACGCTTCACAGGATTCGCTGCGAATACACCTACAGAGCGCACAGTCACTTCACAGTATATGCTGCGAAGCATTCTGAGACGTCCTTCTGACATGAAAGTTGCTGCATGAAATGTAATTATCATTATTATTAGTATTCATAATTAATGGTCCATGGACAACATGACACTCACAGCAACATCAAAGGTGGGGACCAGAATACCTGACAATCAGTCTCAGGAATCACAGGTTTACTGTGTCTGATTTTTTGGGGCAGAAATTATTAAAAAGGTAATTCATAAAATGAGCAGATTGTGTGTGTGTGTGTGTGTGTGTGTGTGTGTGTGTGTGTGTGACATTCGCTGGATTTAGCTGTCTGGGTAGCGTGCAACTCAGCTTCCCTCAAATCCCTGACCCTCAGATGGCACATATAAGCTGACAGACGTTGAAGAGAGATTTACATCACAGCTGAATTAGATAGTAAGCACGTGGCTCAATGGGTCACAGAGTTCATTGCCTGGGTTTGATGGCAGGTTTCTTCCCAGTGTTCACATCACAAACACCGAACTTTCCATTTCAGATAACGCAAGTATCTGAGATTTCAAGAATCGAACAAGAATTTAAACAGTACGCTAGACAAAGTATATTTGTGATTTAGCTCATCGGTGAGGGGGATTTTGAGCTCGTACATCAGGGCTGAGTCTTTAACACAGTGCTGGCAAAAGGGAGGGAGGGGAGTGCTGCATTGTCAGAGGTGCTGCCCTTTGGATAAGACATTAGGAGACGTTTGTACCAGTTCAGGTGGATATTAAAGATCTCACAGCACTACTGGAGAAGAGATGGAGTTTCTCTCTCCTGGTGTCCAGGCTGACAATCCCCCAGATTTGCAGGACATTGCTCCGCACAAATTGGCCTCCGCGTTTGCCTATAAAATACAGTCACTACTGTACCGAAAACTTCTGTGAAGCACTTTGAGGTGTTGATGTATCATGGTGTTCCCTTCACAAGTGCAAATCTTGCATTTCAGGGTATGCAAATATGTTAGAAGCTCAGGACTTGACTTGAGTGATAAAATCGGGTTGGTTTGGGGGGAGAATAAGTGTCAACAATAGATGACAAAAACACACCTTGAGCCAGGATAAACTGAGGTGACAGGGTCACGGACCGAACACCTTTCAATTTAAAGTCTTATTGCTTCAAACAAAGGGCAAATGCTGGGTGGATTATGTAATGAAATCCTGTGGCTGAGTTGAGATGGTCACACGGCCTGTTTATGGAGCAGTGATCTCTTTATAGTCTCGCTTAGAGTACACAACAATTAACGATACAATGTACTAAACGCAGGATTATTCCACATCAAAGCACACCCGGATATTTCTCATTGTTTGGTGTGGATAAGAAGACCGATTATAATAATTTGCTCCAATAAA